CACATGGGATGAAATTGATGACATGTCATCAATTGAAATTGCCAAATGTCAATCAATTAGCTATGGCAATTCAACTTTTATATATTATATAGATTACAACCACCCCTGATGTATGGTCAAATTACGAAAACCCCCTTCATGTTTGAGTAATTACAACCACCCCTAAACTATAAATCTTCTTACACGTCCACTCTTGCGGTTTCGAATTTAGTGGAATCTTCTAGATTACATGGAATATTCTCAATTTTGGACCCGTTTTTTCCCATTCGAGCTCCACATTTTGAAGCAAGGTGGTCATAAGATGTGTTTTTTGGCTTGTAAATATCAATTTGTTGTGCATCAGAAACTGTATTTTTGCACAAAACGAGTACACACTAGAGAACATTCGACGGAATCTAGATGATTATGTTAAATTTCGCAACATAAGGATGGAGATGTAAGAAGATTTATAATTGAGGGGTAAATATAATTATCCGAACATAAGGTGTTTTTTCGTAATTTGACCATACCTCAGGGTGGTGGTTGTAATTTACCAAAAAAAAATAAAAAATGTTAAATTACGATTCGATCCATAAAAAATCAAGTTTAATTAAACCTACATCTCTCTCCGAAGAAACGATAATACATAGCAATAGATACAGAATCTGATATGTAACCCCATTTCATATGCGTTAAGCCAATTTTCCGAAAAAAGTGAAAATAAATAATATTTATTTATTTAGTTAATTATTTATTTGATATATACGCTGTTGCTCCGCGCCTCGCTCTCTCTCGTATTTATCCGATTTTTCTGCTTTTCGCCGACAAGCGCCATTTCCATATTCAAAGCTCCGTTCAGCTGAAATAATAACATTATTTTTCAGGTGCAAAATCTCTCTCTCATCTTTCTTATTCCATTTGCGGAATTAATTTATTGGATTTTGGATTCGATTGGGACGGATTCTGAGCTGGGATTGGATTAGGGTTTTTTTTCTTCTTCAAGTGTGCAATTTTTTATTCTGCGTTGTTTACCGTCTTTTCTTTTCATGTTCACATGTTGGATAAGTTGATATGATTACTTTATTTGTGAAAGTTTACATTTTTTTAGGTTTTTTTAGCTGTTATTTTGATGGATTAAGTTGATATGGTTACTTTATTTGTGAAACTTTACATTTTTTGGGTTTTTTTAGCTGTTATTTTGAGCTTGAAATCAATACTTAAATTAGTTTGAGTGAGAAATGAGAACTGAGAAATATTAAGATTATTTGTGCAAGTTTACATTTTTTGGATTCTTTAGTCGATAGTCAGATTAGTTTGAACGAGAAATATTAATGCTATTCATGCATTTGAATTTGATTTTCATTTCACGATGTTGGCGCCAGTATTCAGTCGAATTCCGATTATGTTTCCATATAATTAATGCAAAATACGATGTTGTGCCGGTATTCAATCGAATCCAATTATGTTTCCATATAATTAATGCAAAACACGATGTTGTGCCGGTATTCAATCGAATTCCGATTATGTTTCCATATAATTAGTGCAAAACACGATGTTGTGCCTGTATTCAATCGAATCCCGATTATGTTTCCGTATAATTAATGCAAAACAAGATGTTGTGCCAGTATTCAATCGAATTTCGATTATGTTTCCATATAATTAATGCAAAATTGTCGTGGGCTTGACAAATTAACTTTTTCAGTGTAGTGAGAACAATTTACTATAAATTTTATTTTCAATATTCTTTGTTGCAGGTAAAATAATTGTGAATCGGGTTTTGTTCGGGCCCACGATGATAGAAGCTGACAGCGAAATAATAAAACCGGAGGTATGCTACATGTGCACTTTTCGGATCTACATATTTTTGTATATGTTATGTGCTTAAGATTCCGAAGGCACTGAGCTCTATACAAACGTTTTAGGTACATTGTAGTAGTTAAGTACAATGGGGATTTTTTAGAAAGTCCGTAAAAATATCTAAAACTCGGTTACAATTTTTGACATGTTTATAGAAAATTCTTATCTACAAGTAGTCTATTTCGGGGTTTGTCTTCTCAGCGAGTTTTCATGATTCATTAAGATCCTATTTGGCCCAAATATTATAAAATTTGGTCCAGTACAATATCCTATATTCATACAAGGTATTGATTAGTGCCAAGTCACGTCAAAATTGATTGGAATGTGATAGTTATTATGGTGGTTGGTAGGAAATATCTGCTTACAAGTGTTTATTCTTTATTAAAAAGATTGAATTTTCCTTAATCAGTGTGCATTTTTTTTGGTTGAACTAAGACATCGTGCTTATCATTTGCATTTCTTTTGGTTGAACTATAAGTGTTGATATGTGGTGAAGAGTGACCAACCTTTGCCTTCTACTAAAATGCCAAACCTTGGGAAGTGTACACTAATATCGTTGGTCAAATATTTTGTTTGACCGTGTTTTTCTCTGCACTAATGCCGGGGTTTGTCTGTACCGAGAATGTTTACAAATCGAGTGAGAGAGTTTGTGTTCTATTTTTTTCGCATTTGGTTGCTCACGTATTGCTGGTTTTCGGTTGTTGTTTGGTTAGAGTCTAAAGGAGTATTTGTGGCTTCAAACTTCCGATGAGTCACTACAGCATGTAGAGCAAGAAATTGCCGTGTTTTGTCCATTCATATGTCACGAAATGCACTCCGGCATGGGCTCTTCTAAAAATCACCCCATCTCTCTCCCCTCACGGGTCAATCCTGCTATGTTGAGCCTTATTCTTGATTACTGTCGATTTCATCAAGTACCTGGACGCTCTAACAAGGTTATTAAAAATGAATTTTTTTTTAATCAAGTTTTCAATTTAGATAGAGAGAAATAGATAAGTAATGTTTTTTTTTAAATGCAGGAGAGAAAGTCCTTTGATGAGAAGTTTATTCGAATGGGCACCAAAAAACTTTGTGAGTTGACTTCGGCAGCCGATAGCCTGCAACTGAAACCCTTGGTTGATCTTACTAGTCGTGCACTTGCACGCGTGATCGAGGGGAAAACCCCCGAAGAGATAAGAGAAATATTTCATCTGCCCGATGATCTCACAGAGGTGTTCTTTCGTTGCAAGATAGTTAACACTTTTTATTTTTTATTTTGTTTTACTAATATTTAGTTATGAAACTGATACAGGAAGAAAAGTTGGAGCCTATAAAAAACACGATGGATGATCCAAGGATTCGGCTTTTGAATAGATTATATGCTAGAAAGAGGAAAGAATTGAAAGAGAGAGAGAAAGAAAAGGTGATCTAAAAAATAATATTCTCTTAGGATTCATCGGGCTGTTATAAAACGGTTATCACCACTGTAATAAACTTGTTATTCACCGTTGGCTTTCAATGGGTTATTTTTATAGGAAGTTGAAGAGGACCACGCGGATGAGCGTTCAGTTGATGATCTCTTGTCATTTATTAATGGCGGAAATGAAGGTATTATTATTATCTGTCACATAATCTATTACCTCGATCTTTGCGAATTTGTATAATATATATCCTGTAGCGCTATCTTTTTTCATCGTTTCTTCCTTATTTTATTGTTTTGAGGCGGACCATTTAATACATATGGGATTGCAGATCCTAAGGCAGCTCGAACTTCTAAACCAAAAAAGAAGAATCGCAAAAGAAAAGATCATCAAAAGATTTGCTTTCTTCTTCAAGAAATGCTGTAAACATGAACAAGAAAGGTGACGATTATTTTGCTTCTCGTATATATAATTCTTTACTTTTTGGCATCACTGAAAACAGTGTCAATGTTTCCACAGGAATCAAACGAGTCGGAAACTGTATGCAGCGAACTTTGCAATGCCACAAAATCGTTAGACATCGAAGATGACGGGATTGCCCCTGATGAAGATGAATTTGACGATTCTGATATAGACGACGATATTGACCCCGCTTTGAAAGAAAAAATCGATAGGTGATCTTGATGCTTATGTCATCATTTTATTGTATATGTGTGTGTGTGTGTGTGTGTGTGTGTGTGTGTGTGTGTGTGTGTGTGTGTGTGTATTCAATCTGTTTCGAATCAAAAACGATAAATTTTGCACTTTATTGTTTGATTAGGGAAGTGGAAGACTTTGCCAGACGACTAAACTCGGATTGGCCTGAAAGAATGCAAGAAATTCTGTTTCTTGGTCAAGAGAGAAGACCATTGCAGTTGACCAATAATGGAAACGGCTCCATGAGGATATTTACAGGTACTTCTGACTTCTTTTTTCGCTAGTCGAATTTCTATGCTATAAAGAATGGATTTTTTTTCCTTTTCCTTAAATGTGGTTATTTGATTTTCTTTTATAGGTGTTGATCAACACCGGAATTGATTTTTCCGGAGGCAACCCCATAAACTTAAAAAACGGTGGCTCGGCAGATAAAATTTGTTCGACCACTGGTTGGTTACAATGTCCGATTCAGAGTTGGGACGACGTACATCGGTGTGGATTCACATTAAAGTTTATTGGTAACCTTTTTTTTTTTGACTTATTTAGAAATGTAGTTTTGATGTTGTTAGCTGCCTTTGTTTTACAGAAACAACAAATATTGGAGAAAGAATAATGTGTTTTTGAAGTCCTATACTCCAATATGAGCAAATTTTTGCCTATACTTGTGTTTATTTTTTTTGGTTGCATTAGATATACTCATCTATTATCAGCGATTTAATTTTTCCGATTTTTTTTTTTTTTTTTTTTTTTTTTTTTTTTTGGGAATGGAAGTGGTATACATATTGGATTCTGATTTTTGATCCGATTTGATTTCCGAAGAATTTCAATATTATTCCGAACATATCAATTATATTACTCATATTTTATATTATAGGTAGACTGCAAAATTGGAATTTCCGAATTTCGTCGATTCCTATTTAAAAAATTCCAAATATCAAGTTTTTTCTTTCTAGTTTAAGTCTTGGCTCGTCTAAAACCCCGACCTGAGGTAATACCATAGTGCCTTATCGTCGTGCAATTGATTTTATTTATTTGGTCGAGGCCCATATGTGCGAGATAGTCCAAATCATCGATTATCGAGTAAATTGTTTGATTAAACACACACAATATAACGAACATGTACTATTACTATTACTTTTACAACGTACATATAGATTGCGACTTAAAACGATAAAAAAATAGCTACATGTCATTGTTGGTCTTGTTGAAGACGAACATGTGGACAAGGTGTACGAGGCAAACCCCGGTGCCATAACTGCTTTAAATCGCCTCTCGTATTCGCCAACGTTATCAGAGTGCCTGAAATGGAATATGAATCAACTTCAGGGACTGTTTTGTAAATTAAAATTCTTCTAAATAAAGTAAAAATTTGAAACTGCTTGGGAGTTGCATACCTAATGTGAATGGCACTATGTAAAGCAAAGCTGGTTGGCCATGCCCATCCATCAAGTTCAAAGCCACATATGTAACTAACAGACCTTTTCGAAACAAAATTCAAATAAAATCGTAAGTGCTCAAAAATAGTGGGGGGCCGTGGCCCCCTGAACCCGATTATGTATAGGGAAATTTGAAAATCATACCTAAACCGTAAGCAATCATTGCCCACAAGAAATATCCGGATCTTACACTTCTCTTGCACAAGAAATCGTACCTGCGAATATATATATATATCAAGAAAGAGCATGAACAACGTATGGCGATCAACGACGTAAAATAATTTGAGTTGAGTAATTAGTTCGTATATTTAAGGTATTTGTTCGAATCGAAAACCTTAATGAAAAGGCGACAATGAGTCCCGGTAAGATGATGTCGCCGAATCCGATGATGCTGTATCCGCCCCACGGATCAAACATCCTAGGAATTTTCAGAAGCATCGGAATCCCATCTTCTCCACTTCCATCACCACGCGCTACCTAAATAATTTATTTAATTAAAAAAAAAATAATCGTTAGTACAAGTCATCCTCCGTTTCTTGATTCGTTTCAAGATTCAAATAAAAATCGTTATTACGGCTCACCACTATCATCACACTCTTGTGGAACCACCATTTCGAAACGAAAACCCAAAATATGTCGTACAAGAATGCACAGCTCAGTAGAACTGTTCCCACCTGAGTAGTATAATTATTGTCGAAAAATATTATATAACATCATCATGTAACTTTTTCTATTTGAAATAAGCACCCTCCGGCTTTTCTTTATCAATCTTTTTTATTTTATTTTATTTGGTTTTCCGACAATCACCTTGAGATTCGGAACTCGTACTATCTGGAGAACTGTGATTATCAGTGCAATGCCCTGTTACATTGAGGTAAAAAAACTCCGTAAGAAATTTGATTACGTAATATAAATCGAACTACTTTCTTCTTAGCTTCCTCATAGTTAGTACTCGATTTTGAGATTTATGCTTCAAAACCGGTTATTTAATTCGATCTCAATCAAAAGAGATCCATGTATTAAAAACACACACACACACACATTTGTTCCTTACCAGTATATCTTGACCAATCCAAGCAAACGAGACAGTGCGGTAAACCGCCCATAAAACGGCAAACACTATGCAAAAAGGCGAAACAGCTATTGTCAAATACGACACTTCTCCCAAAACAGGAATCTTAACAAATGATTCTGCAGCATCTTCACACCATCTGAAACTATATCCAAAATAGTCTTGTTAAGTCAACGCTTCGATGAAAAATACATAAAAATAAACTATACGGGGAGTAAAATAAAAAATGAATAGATACCATGACAATAATGCCACTAGACAAGTTTGCAAACCCTGAAATCCCAAAAAAAAATAAAATTAAATTGCATCAACGTATACAAATTCAAAATAACTTTGGAAGGGAAGAAACGTATTATGTAATACCTCCACACCGCCTATGCAAAACAAAACCACGAGAATCTCGATGAACCAATAAGACATAAACTTGTAAAGCATAACCAAGAAACACGAGGCGATCACAACAAACAGAATCGCCGAGGTTGTATTAATATCCACAAAGCTACTGTTACTACTCGTCTCGTTGCTGAGGTGGCGTTCGTCGAAACCATCCTGCTTATTTCAAGACCATATATTTCTTAGTTGCATACCGAAGAAAACAGAGGATTTAACTGTGAATAATAAATACCTTTAAGAGCTTTTCATGCTCAATAGCTACTTCTCTAGCACTCCATGCAGACCAATACGACGCAAATAAAATAGTCCCAACAGCCATTAGCCATAAAAACACTTCGGCAACATCGACTAACGGGCGATTTGGAGAGTAAATTTGAATCGAAACTGAAAAATAAAGAAAATTTAATATATATATATATATATATATATATATATATATATATATATATATATATATATATATATATATATATATATATATATATATATATATATATATATATATATATATATATATATATATATATATATATATATATATATATATATATATATATATATATATATATATATATATATATATATATATATATATATATATATATATATATATATATATATATATATATATATATATATATATATATATATATATATATATATATATATATATATATATATATATATATATATATATATATATATATATATATATATATATATATATATATATATATATATATATATATATATATTTATATATATATATATATATTTATATATATAAATATA